GTTGAGGTATCGCTGTGTGTTTTGCTCCCTCAGTCATCCAGCTGCCTGGGGAGAAAGAAGACGGCTTTCTGTCCGATGTGGGTTCTCGGGCCGAGTTTAGGCTTTCCGTTCTTTTTCAGAGCTACGTACCAGTTGTTGTCGTGATATTTCTGTGGCTGGTATGTGTTGTAGTGGTTCTCCTCCAGCCTCTCCAGGAAGTAACATTCATCTGTAATTGTGGGCTGAGAGACAAATGCAAGAACATTTCAAATAACATCTCATGAGGTTTGAGTTTGAGGTAAAAACGTAAACATTTAAAGGGTTAGGAATAACAGTTAATAGTTTCACTTTGATTCAGTAAATCCTGCACTATCAATAATCAGAGTTTATGTCTTGTCCTCCTACATTAAGCTGTGCTGGCAAAGCAGCAGAGAAGTATGACCAGTGATCAATACACTGTGGGAATGCCCTGATGTTGAAATCTTATTCTGTTACTCAGATTTTTCAACCTTCTTGGTATTGAACAAAAAACTAATATATTAAAAGTACAGTGTGTGCAAAGGTTTTAAGCAGCTCCTTCTTTCTTTGGTAGGTTTAATAAGTTCAACAAATTTATTAAAATATACAAACAGACTTACAGAATGAATATGATGCAAAAAAAATAAATTCTAAAGGACACAAGAAACAGATGCTATTCATCTGTTGCAGATAGTTTTCCAATGTTCTCTTGTTTTTTCAGAACACACGGCACACCATGCCAAGATATGTCAGGTTTTCAACTAAAAAGTGAAAAAAAGGTTTATCCATCGAGTTAGGTGTCTTTTTAGGAGTGAATTCACAGGTCTGTTAAGTGACTTACCAAACAACATTAACAACAAATAATTCTTGGATTATTTTCACTGGACTGAAAATGAGTGAAAAATCAGCCAGTGTCCACAGAGAAACTTTAAAAGACCTACTGCTTAAAACATTTACATGAAATTCTTATAAAGAGATATATAAAGAAGTGAGGGGTAGATCAAGGATTTTACATGGGACTGTAACTCTGCAACAAAGTGGGATCAGGTTTAAAAACATGATGTCAGTGCAGATAACACAGACCAAACAATTCAAGCAGATAAAAATAATTTAATGAATAATAAAATGTGTCTTATGTTAAGTGTTAATATTCTTGATTGTTTCCCGATTTGTTTGTCTTGTAATATTTCCCATAAACCTTTATTTAAAAAATAAAAATTGCCTTAAATACTCACTGAACTGTACAAACGGCCTTCATCGCTCATGGCTAAATATCTGCTGGCTTCAGTTCCTTGGATGACCACGACGCCTCTGTCCACAGCTTTGAGCTTTAAAACAGCTGAAAGGATAACAAAAAATTACATGAAAGTCAAGAAATTACACAGAAACGGTCAAAATCTGAATATATAAATAATGAATATTTCATGGGTTGGCTCAGAGGTTTCAGTGCAAAGGTAAATCTGCAGCATCTGAATATAAAACATCACAAACAGCTGTCGATGCATTTATTTATTTTATTATTCACAATCTGAAAATTCTTCAGCAAAAATCTTTAAATATTCCTGCAGAAAGAGAGCCACCAATCTTATTTTTTAATCTGTTTCTCTCTGTTTTGTCCAGCCTTGATTAGAACAGGTTCACCTGCGGTGTAGCACAGAGTAAAAAGAGAGCTTGCAGATGGCTGATCAATACAGAAAAGTATCTGATGACTGAAATGTCTCGTGCTGTGGTTTCCTGTTTCCACCTTTTCAAGGCCAGAAATGTTTCTTTCACAGAAGCCTCTGCGGCATCATTCCCAGCACGCCATTCCACTGCTCCTGTCGGTAAACTTTCCTTCTACTTCTGCGTGTTTTCTCGTGTTCAGACAACCACCGACTCCATCCACATTCATAAACACGTTCAAACTGAACTCACAGACATTTTGCAACAAACTAACGCAGTGGGATGTCCCGCATTTCACTTAAAAAGTGAAATGGACGCATGGCGCTTTAACCTGGAACACCTGCAGCAGAGGAAGTGAACGCGTCATGCTGCAGGCCTGACCTGGACGTTAAAGCGCGCAGTGATCTTACTGTGAGCGTCACTCTCTTCCCTCTGGCCCTGCACAGTCCCGTCGGGGAGGATCTGGAGGTGATGTCCGCCATTCATGCAGTACAGCCGAGCCAGTCTCCGGTAGTCCCTCAGCTGCAGCGGGCTGCTGTCCCCCACGCTCAGATCCACCACCGTGTCTCCATCCGCCATCCTGCTCGGCAGAAAACCTCGCTCTCTACAGCAGGGGGGTCTGTGACGAGAGGGGATCGGTTTCCTGCGGAAATTCTCACTGGATTTGTCCCCCTGCAGAGATCAGGTGTTTATGTGGCCGTGAACGAGCGCGAGACCACACAGGCAGCCAACATGCGCAGTCCCGATTCCTGGCAGCATCCAACTGGGGTGAAAATAACAATGCCCACTTTGAATTCAAAGTAACTTTTTAAACAGCCAGTGTGAGGACCCTGAGTTACTTTCTGCTTTCGTTACTTGTTGATCAGGTAATCAGTAACGAGCAGAGCCACGTGCCATAAGCACGCAACCTTTATTCACATGTTTTTGAAAGATATTTCTAATTTTCTGGGAGGCAGCTGTAATTAACGTGGGAGGAGCTGCTGCACATCACATCTTTATCCCTGAGATGGGACTGCAGTTTGGACACAACACAACAAAAGTTGTTTGCGTCCCCGGCTGGCGCACTTCTAACTGATAGGAAATAAGGGGAAAGGGGACATTTTCAACATGCTATTCATAACACAACATGACAGTTTTAGTTAAAGAGTTAAAAATAACTATACATTTTCTTGAGTAAATGAACATTTCCAATGACACAAAGTTTTGTTTTTTTTAAGTTCAGAAATGTCCTACATACTGGTTTCCACGAGTCTCCATGAAATAAAAACTGAGAACAGTTGAAAAAACTGAAAATTCTGCTGAAAAGAGGTAAAGAAGCAGAATGTTGTGCTGAAAAGAGGTGAATCAGCAAAATTTCTGCTGAAAACAGATTTCTGCTTAAAAGAGCTAAAAAAGCTGGAATTTGTGCTGAAAAGGGGTGAAGAACATAAAATTTGTGTTGAAAAGAGTAAAACAAAGTTTTACTGTTAACTGAAAAAAATGTTACCATAGGCGGGATTTGAACCCTGGCCTCCCAGTCTGAGAACGGCTGCTCATCTCACTGACCTAAAACACAGCTCAGCCCAGCGAGCAGAAATAAGTGACCACATTGATAATGTGTTCCATTCATTTCAATGGGCAAAATATTGCAAAAAATGCAATGTGAGGCATTCACACAATGACAACTTACTACAACCAGGGAATGCAGAAGAGCATCTCTGAATGCACAACTCGATTATCCTTTAAGCAGATGGCCTGGAGGAGCAAAGACCACACCACCAAAAGTGGACAAAAGATTTGAAAAGTATTGGTCTGGTGAGTCTCCTTTTCTGCTGCGACATTTGAATGGCAGGGTGAGAATTTCCAGCACCTTGTTGAAACTACACTGTGAAGCATTAAAGCAGTTCTGAATGCAAAATAGGGTTCAAAGTGTACCTCATAAAATCTGTGGTGATTGGATAAGCATCTAATTTTCACAGCTAGATGTGCTCCTTTATTGGCTCTCGGAGTTTAGTCCCTACTCCAAGGTGTTAAGTTTTGCTTCTCAGCAGCCATTTAAAAACAACCACTTATTGGGGCAGTTATTTTGAACCATTATCTTAATTTAAATGCTCGCCTGCACTGTAAAGAGTCACCGGGGAAATCTGACAGAAACTTCACCTTAAAAGTTGCTGACTTTGCCTTAAATTTAGGTTTTAAAAGGCTTTCTTCCCCCTTCTAATTATACTGATCCCACCATTACTGCCATTGTAGAAGGTTGGTTTTTGTAAATGAGCAGCTTGACCAATAAATAAATAAATTTTACATGCTTTTAAATAGGAACAAAAACACAGGTTTACTTCCAGTGAATCTAAGCAGTCAATAAACCAGGTGTCAGAATGGAAAAGCATGTTTATTTGATGAACACGTGCTTGCTGTGAACATGAAAAGTGGCGTTGCACCAAGAATGACCATTTCCACAGTTTAGTTTTACTGCGACGGATGGCAAACATCATCATACACGTCCCCGCTTCGACAAGTACCACAAAAAGACGTTAAAGGTTCAAACTTTAATCGATGGAGGAAAAATATCAACAGGATCTCACTACAGAGAGGAAATAATACAGAGGGGGTGGGGTGGGGGGAGGTACTGAAAAACTCTTTTTTTGGAGACAAATACACCACATTATTTCTTTACAATGGATTATATGTACATATTAAACTGGTTGGAAGCAAAAACAAAAAAAACAAACGCTCTTTAGAGAAAGCATATACCAGTGAAAGATGATCTGCCCTTGATAATTCTCAAAAGTTAATGTCTGCATATGTTTTTATACAAAATAGATTTTCAAATAATATTTGGGTAGTGCAAATTTTTTTTCTCTTTTTCTTATTTTTATTTAAGATTCAAGCTGGTTGATTACTTTCACAAACAGTTTGCGTGTGAAATAGACTGACTCCTATCCTATTCACAGTATTACACAATCCGACCAAAGCCTCCACGTTAGAGGAAAAAGAAACAAAAAGAACTGTACATTTGTCCTGTCTGCACTTGCTTTGGTCACCTTGTAGTCAAACATCTAACAGGCTGTTGTTTGTGCAATCTGGGTGGACTGATTATTGTTTCCTGAATATCCTGAAAAGCTGGCCTGCAGAGATCAAAGTCAGTCCCCTGTACGTAAATAGCTTATATAGGAAAGAAATGAAGGAAAACAAGAAGTAATGTAATGTTATGCTATGATGATGGTGTTTCTATTGCATATTCAGATGTCCTCCTCAAAAATGTACACACAAGACATTTTTGAGCAAGAAGAGGCAAGTGTGCGATTTTATCTCTCTCTCTTTCTATATATATATATATACATACATATATATCTATATATCTGTGTGTGTATATATACCTGTTTAAATGAAGAGCAGCAGCAGTAGAGACTTGGCTACACTGAATGTGAAAGTAACCCAAGATGATTTCCAAATATCTGAAACAAACCTCTCAGAAAAATGATAAGCATCTGTTGTCTGAGCCTCAGTGAGAGTGATGCTGGTGGCAGCAGAGTCATTAAATTATTCTCATATATTAAATTTTTTATCTTTGTTTGTGGGGGTGGGGGAGAAAGAAATAAACATAAAAAAAAAAAACACCAAAAGAGACATCTGGGGAATCCAAACTTGTTTTTGGTTTTTAGTGTCAAAACGGAGCACAGACAGCTAAATGCTGTGTGAATCAGACAGTTTAAATAACCTGAGAATGGGGGAGAAAGTTCTTTTAGACTTGTCGTGGGGGATAGATCGGCCACTGGACAATTTTACATTTTTCCATATTTAAATACTCAAGTGAAATAAATGAATTCCTCTTTTAAGGGTCACATTCATGTAAAACATAAAAAAAAAAGGGGTTAGGAAACACGGCCGGCTGGCTGGTGAAAATTCCCACTTAGACCCCACAAACACACACGTGTGTTTATACATCTGTGTTACATATAAAACTCAGTTATCTCTTACAACAATCCAGTGTCCTGAAGTGCAGATAACTCAGGACTTCCCCCCCTCTATTTAAGACAAATTTATAAGCTTCAAAGTTTGGGCTCATTTCCGCTTCTCATACAATACTGACCGACTTTCAGCATCACTGAAAACAGACAAAACAGGAGTTTGGCACTGAAACAGTTCCCAGAGAATAAAAAGGATCCATTTTGCCTGCTTCCCCAAAGCAGCAACGCTACACTCGGACTGTGACAGGACTCTATGAGGTGACTGTTTTTTTTAAAATGCCGGGACTCGTCCACAATGGCAAACAAACAAACATACGAAAAACACAAGCAGATGCTGGACACGTTGTCTAGGGAGGGGACGATGCCTGAGCCGAACTGCTCGATACACAAGCCGTCTATCATACAGACTGTTCGTTCTCAAAGGAATACTCTGACATTTTGACCAGTATTCTGTAAAATGTCTCATATCCCTGCAATGAATATGAAGCTGCCGGCACAGAAAGAGTGTAGAGAGGGGAACATCTGGCATGGTTTCATTTAAAAACAATAAGACTGCCAGGACCTTTAACACCTCATTAATACCAGTTAGATTGTGTTTCTTTAGTTTATACAAAAAACTAATAAAAAAGCCAGAAATACCAAACCAGCTTTAAACTCCAGCTTCACATTCACTGTACAGATATGACAGCGGGATAGCTGCATTCCCACAAAATGTCCAGCTATTCCTTTAATGAATACAATAATACATGAGCTTTTAATTAAAATAATAATAAAAAAAAAATCCAAAGCAGAAGCTTATTGAGAGAAGAGATATACTGTATGTATCACATCATCTTTACCAAACACACTTTGTAAAAAGAGCTTAAAAAGTGAAAGACGGGTGTTTCTCCTTCCACTTTGAGCCACATTAAAAACCACAGAAATTTCCTGATTAATCAAAAATGACATAAACTTGCAAACACAATAAGAATAAGCCCTCTCTCTTGTGATTGGTAGACGCAGATATCCATCCAACTGTTAGACTACCGGTGAAGGAGCGCGGACTAAAACGAGCACAAAATGGGCTACTTCCTAAAAAAAAAAAGCAGCTCTACTTTCCATCTAAAGTCAAACAGGAAAGACAATTTAAACAGTCTTTCTTCACAGCCTTTTAAAGCCTTAAGCAGAGTACAAAGTGCTCAAATCGCACCTAAAGACTCCCGTGTATGTGTGTGTGTGCAGGAGGAAGCAGGCTCTGAGCGTTGTTTAACAATAAGGATCATTTCTACACGTGAGCTGCCACTTCTAAAGATAACATACAGCCACTGGAAAATCAAAAAGGAAAACTCGAAAGAAGTATAAAAAGTACAATCAACATACGATGAAGGTAGACCATGACGGGATAAAGAGTACGGTCGGAAGAAAAATGGCTAAGTGATCATTGAAGCAAAAAAGGCACATGTTTTTTTTTCCCTTTTATAATAAAAGACGTGTGTAAACCTGGAAGAGGTCAGCTTGTGAAAGAAATAATCCTTAGAACGATGGATGTCTCTTAACAGTCCCATAGATTTGTTTTGTATTTTCCAAAGTTAATTAGCAAAACCAAAAAAAAAAAAGAAAAGCCACTAAATACGCTTTTTAAATGACTATAAAACACACTCTCCCCCCATGTGACTGATAAAACATTTTGTTACAACCTCCTATAAAAACTAAAAGTGGAACATACAGTCTAAAAGACTACCGACGAGCATGTTAAGCTTCGCTACCCTCTTGGGTAACATCAACCTGGGTAATTGTAGAAACTGTCATAATTTGAAAATGTAGAAAATACTATCAGAACCTGTACATAGATATTTGTTCAATCTATTTTAGATAACGTTCTGAATTTGAAGGTAAGAAACCTGAGATGACGTTGATGTTAGTCTAGTTCTTCTGTGATTATCTTTTATCTTACAAACAAGTCCTAATCATTGTTACACACTACATCCTACACTGTTCAACAAAACCAAACCTCTTGTGCTTGCCGTTTCTACACAAACATCTCCGCCCTCTCCCATCAGACCCGTGAGCCACAACACAAGAGTTGCATACGTGCTCCCAAAATACATCATCCGCGCCTGGGATCCTCAAGTCTTCTGGGGTTGGGGTAAGGGTGGTGAGGTGAGATTATGTGGTGGGACTTTTTTTCTTTTTCTTTTTTTTTAAGGCATTGTGTCTGTTACGGGGGTGAGTCATCTCTGGTGGAAGAGCAGAGGTTTGACGCTCCCAGCCTTGAATTTTGGCAACTGGTTGCTGATGATCTCTGCCAGCATCTCTGGGAACTCCACGCTCAGGGATTTATTCACAAAGGTGTAGAAGCAGAAACTCAGCAGACCACCGACCATCTGTAGAGAACGCAAGAGGAGGAAACATCAGAACGTGATTAACATAAAACACATGCAAGTGTTTCCTGAATAATGGTTTAAAACTATGAGTGGCATTTTAAACAGTCCATCAGATATACAAATATTTCCAGTGAGCAACAAAAACTGGCTTGAAAACATTTAAGTCAAAGTTACAGTACAGCTGCTGCTCTCATGTAATTCAATTAACATACACAGAAATACAGCCTGAACTCTTTCTTGTCATTTTCTTAAGTAGTTTGTTCTGTTCTCTGTCAAGACGATCCCTCCCTGCTTTAATAACGCTTATCCACTTTGTGGGGAGGCCAATCCATGCCTAATAGAAAACCACAATGGACCACCATCTTTTATGCTTTTACTACACTGGCAGTGTGTTTTTAGATTAGACTGAAAACTGGTGCCAATCTGATGCTTTCCACATAGTGTGATCAAAATCTGACCATACTTTTCTGCTTTTTATTATCCCATCAACAACACTAGCTTAAAGTGTCCAGCGTGTTTTACAGGTGGCCTATTTCTTAAGGACATGAGTGTCAGATACCACTGATTGACTGTACATACTTATCCACCTTAAAATATTAAGGCAAACATTTCAGCTAACAGCTCTTTGGGAATCACCTTGTTGGTACAAAAATACTATGTTACTATTATTAATAAAATATTATTTTACAATTAATACTGTTCTGTGTTATGTTTGACATCTTTCAAGTAAAGAAATGGGAACAAATTATGTGTTTTTGGAGCAGGCTGCTAGTAACAAACTGCTTAAAACCCCCATAATTTAAAATGTGTTATTTGTAGACAACACCGATTCATTCCGCGTTTCACTTGTCTGTGTTAAGTGACATTCTTAACTTTCCTCTGAAAGTTGTACGAGGAGTGAAAGTGAATGAAAAAGCAGCCAATGTCCAAAAAACAAAAAAAAAAACCTTTGAAAAGCCTGTAGTGTTACTGCTCAAGACCAATTTAGAAATTACAAAAAAGTCCATCTTCTTTTAAGCAAAACATAAAGAAATGAGGGATGGATCAAGACTTGTGCACAGTACCCTACACTGGCTGACAATGCTACATGCAAACCTACAAAACAAACTGCACCAGCAATGTGTAGCTTTGATGGTGGGTTCACCAGTTTCACTTCGAGTATTAAATGGGCCTTTTTGTAGTCTTTTTTTTTTTAAGGTCTTGATTGAATTCTCAGACAATTTTTGTGCAGGCATGTTAGCCCTCCACTAGCTTACTCCTTGCTTCTAAAGCCATATCCCTTTCACACAGCTGCTTCTGGTTCACATTCAGCAATCTGATAAAGTAGGTTGAGTTCCTCCTAGATTGGATATTTGGTTTCTGAGTCTTTCGTTAACTTCTGGCATCGTGTTAGCAGAGGTGCCAGAGCAGGTGATCACTGACAAGTGACGGGCGATGTGATCGGCTCGGGCTGCTGGCTTTTTATGCACAGTTTCCAGCTGAGAGTCAAAAGCCAGACACTGTTCGTTAATACTGTCTAAAGTTTATTTTCTCCTATCTTTTCTGTAAGTGGCGGTCCATCTGCACTGGGGGTTAGTTCCAGTTTGTTCCCCACAAAAAGGTGCTTCTAGTTTATTATGAACCTCAGTGAGTGTCTTTGATATATCACACTCTCTTAATTGTCGACATTAAGCAACTGAGCAAACCTTCCACAGATAGTTTCTGATCAATTTTACTGCACTTTAGGAAGTACTATCAAATCTGTACTTTTCTGTTTTGTATCACTGAAACAAGTCTCCCTCAAATCTCTCTGCACTTTAAAATGATTAATCTGATTAGTCACAGATAACAGACCATTGTTTAAGGATTTAGGGACTGCAGATGGTCAATAACGACTTGCTGGCACGGATAGGTTTTGGGATCATGTGCTCAGTCTTTGTACCTCATGCATGGAATCCAGCAACTTGGTGAGCTGATAGAATCGCTGCCAGTTCTGGCTGGAGTTCTCCTCACGCTTCACAATGGCTTTTCCTAGCTCCTTGATATACGACATGCGAATCTCATCAAACACTGCTTGGCTCTTCAGGCCGTCCTTTGGCACTGTGGGAGAGGAGGACACTCAATGTCACCATCTTGGAAATAAAATCAGGGGAGTGTGCCTCACTTTTACTGCCCGTGTCTCACGCTACAGCCATCACACTTCCAGGTTTAAACCGCAATCATGGAAGGGCATTTTAAACACCATTAACTACTTAAAACATCCATGCTGTGAAGGACACAAACAGCACCTAATGACTATCCAAATAGTCTACAAGGCAAAGATCTAGCTCTGTAGACTATATAAATGTGTTTAAGTATTAAATGTAGTCTGGCACCTTTAATTCTGCAGCACTAAATGATCACACACACACCACAATGCAGTTTTGTAAACTTCTGTACTCAATTAAAACTACGTATTAGTTTAACTGAGAAAGTGCTGAGATGTGCCTTGTGCATCCATCAACATTGTCTATAGTATTGGATTGAGATAATGACTTTTGTAACATAGGTTCAGCTGCTCTCAGGTGGAAGTCTGACCTGTGCTGAGCAGCAGCAGGACCTTCATGCACAGGTACTCATCGTGGGAAACCTGCAGCCGAACAAACTCGCTGCAAATCTTCAGCATCTGCTCAAACTGGTCGGTCATGTAGGGCAGCTTCATCCTCTCCCTGGTGGGTTCAGACAGAGACATTTCAGAATATTTCTCCTGTTGTGCTACCTGTAATATTTCTGTACATTTTATGTCCATGGTCATGATGTAGAAGGGTGTGTATCTGTACTAAATTTTTCCATTTAGTACAGATCATTACAGTGATCTGTTTATATTGTGAGTTACACCAAAACATGAAAACCTCAAAAATAGGATATAGAATAAACTATCTGCTTCTATTAGATATTATTCTAAGGAAGGTTTTTTAAAGGGGTAATCTCTGCTGAGGCTAGTGTCCTAACTTCCAGTTGATAAGTGATCCTCCTGTGCAGTGTCTTCTCGAACACATGTGCTGCCTCTACACCAAGCTTTGTGAACCTTTAACCTCGGTTCTCTGATAACATGATTGATGTTTATGGTGAATGCTCTAACAGCATTACCTATAAAATGAGGGTAGTTCAAAATCACTCATCATTCAAGATGAGCCTCTCTTTATCTCTGCTACTCTCTCTTCTCTCAAGGTAAGACAGCTCACAGTGGAGTACAGTGACACTTAACCTATAAATCCCTGCAATGATTGACTTCAATACAATTTCATCTTGTATAAACAGAGCCCAGGAGGTGTCATTCCCCTAAAGGAATGAGCACAATGACACACAGGTAGCTGCAGTCCTTTGCTAGTTAACTTACATAATCCGGTGAGAGAGCCACTGTTTAGTAACAGGCTTGCCAACATGGGGTTAGCCCATGAAGCAAACAACTGATCCTCATGTGCAAGGCTTAAGGTACCAGTATTCCCCCCACATTTGATGCTTCGCACGCCACTGCAACGTCGTCATGCAGTCGCTTCTATTTATGTCTGCTGTCAAGGTGAAGGAAGCTACCACAGCACTCTCCCGAATCATAAGTGCCCACACTCAGAAGATAACGCCACATCAGCGCCAGTATAGGAAGGGAAGAAGTTTAAACCAGAATCAAAGACTTTACAGTCCCAGAAAGTCTCACAACACACCAACGTGCTAGCAGCATAACCGCCGTGTTACAGGGGCCATGGTGAGCATAAAAACAAGCATTAACCCCAACAGGCTTGGATGCCTAAGTTAACATGATCCCACACCTGGCTGTATGGCGAGGACTAGACGGTGACTGTCAGAGAGGAGCCATGATGGCATCTGATGATGAAGGTATTCAGCTGGACAGTTAAGGCTTCAAGTTGAAAAGGAAAAAATTGTATCACCCGAGTATAGTTGGTGAGTGCTTGTTCACAGTTGGTAGCTAGGTGAAATTTGTTGCAAAGAGGGTGCTGCACCAAAAACCTCCTTGTGATTGTTCTGGCTGAAAGCTGTCGCCAGCATGGTAGATTCCAACTTGTGTGCAAACAAAAGCCAACTATTAGCTAAGTAGTAGGGGCTTGTGTAATATACTTGGATATTTATATTGAGCCATTTGTATATATTGGAGCTCTGTTTACGGACAAATCTGCATCTTTCATACAAACTACAGGTGACCGTGGCAATCAAATCGTGGTTTTTAGTGCAGTGATGTACATCTCCTTCACTGCCAGCAACTTCCAGTGACCAATTCCCCACTGGTTTAGGAATATGCTTCTTTTTTCCCCCCTTTACTACCGTTGGTTACCAGATCTCTAGGTCTGTGTAACTGGTGCAGTTAAACAGTCAGCTGAGAGAGGCCTTCTGGGTAAAATAGGAAAAGAAACTTAAATGACATCTGATACTGAGCTATCCTCATTTATAGGGAAGCAGCATGATTTTGTCTCCAGTACTGTTTGGGTAGATGAAAGAAATTATTTTTGGCAAATTATGACAAAAGACAGGCAGCAAATGAGGTTTGTTTGGAGCTGACTAACAACAGAAAACACACCCTCGTCAGATATTAATTATGATCATGCTAATTTTAAGCTTCTGATTAGGGGGAGAAAAATGAAAAGCAAAAGGCCTATTATAGCCCTAAGCACGATAGCTCTGACAACAGCTCACTGCTCTCAGATTCTATAAGAAGGATCAGACACAGATTACTAGTAAGAGCAGGCAGACACAGTTTGAATGTTGGTAGATGGGACACACAGCAGAGAGCTGCTCTGATACACTTCAACAAGTAGATTTGTGCTTGAGTCACCTGGTCATCTATGTTTTTACTTTAACAATCCCGACAGCAGTGACACATTATTTCACTTATTTTAAATATACACCGGTCTAGTCGTCCTTTAGGTATCAGACGATTTAGAATGCTTAGCAATACTTACTCATTGATGACGAGGTCTGGCGCAAAGCAGAGCATGTTGCCGTTGCACTGCTGGTAAGACCTCCAGCCCAAACTAAAAGTCATGAGGAAGAGCCAGGAGTACTGCAGCAGAGTCATCTGGTCATCCAGGTGCAGGTTCCTGAAACCTGAGGGGAAGGACGTGGAAATACCTCAACTGGTTTTCAAAGCAGTCACGATATAAAATAATTATATTCATTTTCCAGAGGTGGTCTGTGGTTTACAAGTAAAATGCTAAACAACTGTTTGCACAGACTTTAAAGAGGCATCACTGTTGGCGAACACACAAGACTATGCTTAACACGGAAAACACCCAGAGTGACATTTGCTTCAGAAAGACAATAGCAACCAGTGAAGCTGTGGTTAATACCACAAACATGATATTTCTGCATTAGCATGTAAAACAACAAAGAAGCTTCTCCTCATAACATAGCTTAAAATGTTAATAAAGGACATAGTGGAACTGTCATTAAAAACAGGTATTTTGGAAACTACACTGAAATAAACTACATGGAGTTACAGAACATGAAGTCCTCGTTACAAAGAAGAATCTACATTTGAGAGTTTGGCAGTACAAACAAACCGCAAAGACAACAGTTCGCAGAGATGTGGAAAAAGTGATAAGGTCAGATGAGTCATCTGTCACTATATTCTCTGAAGGTGGGCGAGTGTACGTGTGGTGCACGCCAAGAGAAGGGCACAGTAGGGTTGTGCAGATGGTCAAAGTGACTGATGATAGCTCGCCAATCAAGGCCATTTTAGCTCATTTTCCCTTTCATGCATTAAAATACCATTAATATGATGTTCAGCATAAATCTACTTATTTCAACTAATTAGGCTAAAATGAAATGTTGATGTGTAGACATCTCTTCATGCTGAAGTGAGAAACAAACTCATAGATGTGCGTGTTTCTCTCTCATTTGTTGCATACTGATTTGGTGTATGTGGGCCACTCGCTGTACTTTAATGGAGGGTGGATCGCACTATCCTAACCTCTACCCTAACCCTTAACCTCCTCTGTGGGATCCCACAGGGTGACAATCAGACCGTCGAGCAAAGAGGCCAGACCTACAGAACAAACCTAAATGCTTGACTGCAACAGTTCTGGGATTTGCTGGTTCTGTTTAGCTGTTGGGGGCATTTTTGCTGTTGTGGTTTGGTTCCATTTGTTCCCTTAGTGGGCACAAATCAATAAAATGTTCTTCTAAGTGTTTGTCTTTTCACCGTAATTAACACCAGTTGAACACCAGTGGGAGGTTTTGTAGCAACATGTCAAACATGCCAGACTCTTTACCACCATCATCGAAACACCCAAAAATGGAATATCTTTGGGAGAAACGATGATCTATCCCCCGAGTAGCATTACAGAGACTTGAAGCTGTCCTGCTTCAATTCAGTTTTATTTATATAGCGCCAAATCACAACAGTCGCCTCAAGGTGTTGGTGACGACACCTTGCTAAGACCCTTCAACTTATCACCTGTCTTTACTATTTATACTTTACAAATTCCCCACCATAAGATTAATCACACCAAGCACCACTAACCTGGCAGGGCCTTGGCCCACTTGACGGCAGAGATGACCTGTCGGCCTCCAAGCCTGTTGAGGGTGGTCATGAGGCGGGTGGAGTTGTCGGGCAGGGTGCTGTCGTAGCCAGCGTAGATGGTGTCTGGCTCTATCGCCTTCAGCAGGGATAACATTGTTGGAACGAGCTGAGGCATGCACTTGGGTACGAGGGAGCGGGTCTCAACTGGCGGTGAAGGTGTAACCTCTGGTGGGTTGCTCTGCTGGACGCCCTTTAACCGATTCTTCTTTAATTTGCGAGCTTCGGGAGACATAACAGGGGTGAACAGGTGCAAATAAAACAACTCAAAGCATCTGAAATATCCATGCGGGTGCTGCATACCTTCCAGATTCATGCCTGCCATCAGACACTTTCGGAATCGGCAGGCTGGGCAGTTCTTCCTCCTGATTTTGTCTATTATGCAGTCATTCCTCCCTGCACACAGGTAATTATGTTGCCCTGCAGCACACAGAAGAGAAGATCCATGTGTTATTTACCTTAAATGTTAAGGCAAACACTGCAGGCTAAATCTAATGAGGTGTTTCATGGTATTTTAAAACATTAAGGCATCAACTTTAACATTATAACCCCTGTATTTGAGCTAACATGAGAGGCAAACACTAGTAATTACTGTGTAACAGGAGGCAATAAATACACAAATGATGATATTTTAGGGTGTTGCACCTTCTACTGCTCTCTTGAAGAAGACTTTGCAGCTGCCGCAGGTGAGAACGCCATAGTGGCAGCCCGAAGCCTCATCAGAGCACACCAGGCAGATTTTATGAGTCCCGCTCTTTCCTTGTGTGGAGGATGTAGCGGTGCTCCCTTCCTGCCTGGAGATAGAATTGGAAGAAGCAGCATTTTTATTTATTTATTTATTTATTTTTTAATAAAACACAATTTCACACACAGTGACATCTCGCTAATGTAATTTTACTGCATGCCAAAAGTGTTTAAATTGATTCAAATCAAACAGCTGCAAAACACAATCAAATTCATGTAAAATTCACAAACTGCGTGTTTACACAGTGCTATTTATGCAGCCTTGCCCTATCCAGAATTGAGCTGTAGTTCATATTTATAACTCTGTGCTGAAGCTTTGAAGCAAATAAAAAACAATTTACATATATACACACTCTAGTGACTATTTTTGTAAACTCTGGTTTGATCTCAGCATCTTGAGTGAAGAAAACTTTAAAGTCCCAGCCCTTAAAACCTAAATTATCTCAACATCTGCGGTCACATCCTAAATCCGGTGGTTTTCATCAAACAGCCCTTCTTCCTGTGATTGAACCGCAAACGTTTCCAGACCCGGTCAATACTGGTTAAGAATGCACTTGCTCAAAACCGCCACTAGAGGACTTTGCTGCATTCATGAACTTTTCTAACCCAATGGCCACAGCAATGACAACGCCCACACTGAGAGGATATCCAGCCTGAGACGTGCAATAACCGTTTCTGTCCATATGTTTACACGTCTGCTGCTGCAATGAAAACTATTGTATTTGACAACAGCTTCTCCTGAACACCATCACTGCACACAACAAAATACTTATTGAGGTTATTGGCGGAGGACTCAAGTTCACTTTTTGTTATACAACATGATTAAGATGAAAGCAGGCATTCATGCACTTTCAATGGACAGCGCAGGACCGGAAAACCTGAGTAAAACATCAAAGCATCAAGTCCAGAAGCATTCATAAATCTTGTTATAAAAGAAAAGGCAAGAAAACCAAAGAAGCACGAGATCTGTGAAAGCTAAGCTCCCCTGACAACACACTGTGGCCAATACATGTCAGTTTTCTATAATCCGTACAACTGTGTGATTGTTTCCGAGCTTTCATTTTCTCCGTCTTTCACCGCACTGTTTTCTTACACCTCAAACTCAAACCAGTGTTTACTTCCAAATCTCGTTTTAATTAGGAGAGCCGAATGCCGCAAAGTGGAGTGTTACGTAAACAACTCCCTTCTGGTCAGCTGTGAGCGGTGAACGCAGCTTTAAGAGAGTGAACACAGCCACTAAATTCACGAGTAAGCCAGGAAACCGGCATTTATGATTATTTTGAACTTAAAAACAAATGTTTTTAAGAGTAACACGAGCAGGATTTCAAAATGTTTGAGGTAGACTACGCAGAAAGAACATTATGATAAATGGGCATGGTGCAATAACAACTGTTTTTTAAGCCCTGAAAACCAGATTTATCGTCCCAGCTTAAAAAAAAACAATGCATCCCAGCTTAAGTAGGTGCATTACTTGTATAAATAAGAAACAATCAATCATTCATTTGCAACAGTTGAAAAGGGAAACAAGAAATTACCAGCAAATCCACATTCAACAAACCAAACAGTGGGGTAATGGTTTTGCAGTATGTTCCCACTCTCATTATCCATCAAAGTTACACCAAAGAAGTGACTACTAAGCCTAGAGATATTTATTTTTTAACTGATTTAAGGCTGATGTGGGCTGCACTTTAAAAGAAATATTAAAACTACATGCCCGTGTTATAGCTCAGTGTGTGTGATGACAGAGAGCAGAGTCTCCCTCATCCCTCCGTCTTTTCAAGTATTTACAAGAAAAACTAGTTCTGCTCAGTTATGCTTTAAATCAAAGGCATCACCTTGGTTGAAGGGTAATAGAGATGGCACTATTATCCTGTTATTCTTCAAATACTGCCTTAAACGCCAAACTGCTGTCAAATGACTAGGAATTGACCTTTTACGGTTTGCACTGGACCTTGTTTGTTTATTACTGAAAGGAGCTCCACTTTGCAAAAAGCTTTGCATTTTTCACCTGTTTGTACATTATCACATAATCCCTCTCATGTTATTAGCGTATTCTTCTTTGATTTTTATTCATACACATTTTGGACACTAAAATGGTTGCATAAAGTTTTTTATATTTTGGATAACATGATTACCATTTACGTATCAGCAATACATTTGTATTGTTTTGATGATGTTCCCTTTTAATCTGCCAATACAAATATTTAAAATAGTCACATTTATGTAGCAGCTGAAGACTTTAATAAATTCTGATATTCACTGCTTTCCAGATCAAGGGTCCAAAATACTGAGGATCCAAAATGTTTCAACATTTTAATTAAAGTAACTCTTGACAGCAGGAATGAGGTGTTAGTGCTGATATGATGTGTCGGGCTATTTCCATATTTGACATTGCATATTACCAAACATCTCCACTTTGGTCTGATCGGTCCAAAGGACACTGCTCCAGAAGTCTTATGTTTTGCTAGATGCATCTTTGTGAACCTAAGCTGTGCAGCCATATCATTTGTCAAGAGGAGTTTTCTCCTGAAACCCTTCCAAACAAGCCATGCATGTTCAGTCTTGTTATAATTTTACTGTCATGAACTTCCACTTTTAATATGTCAAATGGCTCTAGATGGCTAAAGAAAATTGTAGCTCTTGGGTTTTTTGCAGTTTCTTTGAGCATTGCACTGTCTGACCATGTGCTGAATTTGCAGGGATTTCCACTCTTGGGAATATGGTTGCACTGTGTTAATGTGCACACCTGAATGTTCCTTATCAGCAAACTGCCTGAAGGTCTGCTTTTATAGGGATTGTCACACTTGACAAGTACATCTGATTAGCAAAGTCTGGCTGCTACAAACCGTCTTAATTCATATGAAAACGATAAAACTGTAGTTAATTTTTAAGACGGGATCTGGAGGTGGCATTAGCAAGTTCTCTCTTTGCAATAAAGTCCTGTAACAACATCCAGGACACATCATGTCTTCTCAACCATAACTTCTTGATATACTGTCAGGATGCAAAAACTACACTGCTCTGCTTCCAAAACAAACTTTGCAAATAATCTTTTAGTTTCGATTTGTCTTTTATTTTGAGAAACAAAACTAATAACAGTGGGACCTGAAATTTTGCAGAAATCCTATTAAGGTGGATTGCTCCACTGGAATTTTTCTCAACTCAATCCTAAATGGTTGGATTTGAGGGACTTGATGACTGACGTGGAATAACCTTTGCATTCATTTGGGATCCCAAAGTGAGCCAACAGAAAGTTATGTTATTTTCTAGTGCTGCTCACTTTGCCCTCTCTGCAGTTCTTCCAAACTAACACAAACAAGCCAAGGTCAGGGTATGTCCTTGACCTTGACTGGTTTTAACCTCACTGAACTTTGGTTTATATTTATACACTAACATCACCTGAGAGGGACGGTTGCACCATCTCTACTTTAACAACAAGATCAATTTGCCAACCATGTAATAAAAAGAAAATGTGACTTCATGATGCATTCAAGTGCGCATTGTAAACCCCAAAATTCATCCTGTAATGACCACGCATCTTTTTACACTTTATACCTAGAGCACAACTCATAGCCTACCAAAGTTAAGGTGACCCTAGTTAAGTAAACAATATTTTCACATTACCACTGAATCAAATGTGAAAATGATTGTTAATCCTCAACAATTTCCAAAATGTTTTACTCACTCTGCCTTTTCCAGTGCATTGTTTAAAAGTTTAACCTTTAGCACTTTTCAGTAATAACAGCTTGTGGCTGCTTTCAACAAAAGCTCTAACCTAAGCACAAAGAAAAAACAAAAACAATAAGCAGAAACTCTTAACAGATGTATAAATATGTATGCAAATATTCAGAAGAATGCCTCCAAATAACAATGCTATTGTTTCACCCCTGCTGGATGTGTTAAGAAGCTACGGTTTGCCAAAATGTGTCCTGTAACAAAGTTATTAGGTGATAATACGTCGCTATTATATTTGCAGCCTGTTCCAAGCTTTAGAGTTTAACACAATGCTTCACTGTGGCTATACCAACACACTATACTGTAGAAAAATATAAAGAACCAAATATAAAGCCAGGATTCTTTGAACAACAATGCTATATACAGTTTTTTCCCATATCAAGCTAAAAATCAAATCAATATTTTCTGCTCTCTCCCTTTAAAACATCACCAGTCCTCCACACAGGCTGAAGTACAGCTTTACTGAGGCCTATAGATCTGAGAGGTCATGGCTGTGTGGGGGAAATACCATCTGCTGCACAGTTCGCTGTTGTACTTGTCACTGAAGATAATGTTTCATGATTCGGGTCTATGTTTGAGGTTTGTGCCACAGCATTTTGGATCACTTATAAGGCCTCTGGATCGTACTGCATGATGGGTAAAAATAAAATAAGACCACGAAGCCCCCAAATGAGAGTGTAGTGGCCTGCACGATGGGCGGTGGCTGCTAATGAGTCTAGACTGATGATGATGATGTCAGAGGGTTTGTCCTTGACTGGTCCACTGAGATGGTGTCAGCAGAGCAGCTTTACTAGAAGGCTTTGGACTACTGGCTTAAATCCAATTACTGCTGCTGGTAAATGCTTGCAACAACGACAACAATATAACCCTGAAGAGAAGTTGTGGCTGTCTATGACCCTCTCAAAATCTCATTGTGAAATCAGCTGATGAAACTGAACTTCACCATAATATGAGCTGCAAATCTGTCTTTGTGGATTGTCAGATGCAAACCACTCAAAGCTGCAAGGCAATGTGGGGAGACCAAATTTCCTCTTTCTGAAACCATCTGCTGAAGTGCGTGCTCACGATCAACAGGAAGTTCTTGCATTCCCTCTGAGTGTACTCTCGGTCAGAGCTCAGACGCAGAACAAAGGCAGAGACACCCTGAGTGGGGGCTCGCCTTCAACACGAGCAGCGCTGAGAAAGTTAGCTGCTTAGGAGTGCAATCAATGAGCCTGGGCGTTAAGCAGGCAACATACTTGTGCTAATGCAGGTGTCCCAATGCCCTGCTTAACAATTCATAATCCCCTTTAAGCTGCGTGCATCACAAGGAACT